TTAAGCAGATGGGTAGCCTACAGTATTACCTGGAAGAACTTTCATGTGAGGGTGACAGAGATCCCACTGCCTGTCAGGTGTTCTGGCCTCAGTTCCTAAAGTGTGTTGCCTTAGTCGGCTTGGTGCTTCTTTCATGTTCGCGACACATCGTGGCAGGTACCGACATTGTGGGCACACTGTCGCTTAATGGACACGAGGAGCTTCGCTGGAGCGCCGCCACTCCAGGAGCAGCGCGCCTCTCGCAGCGTCATTCCTAGTGGGCCAGGCACGCGGGGGGGGGGGGGGGGCAGCAGTGTAGCTGCCTGTGGCTCAGCTCCATGGGGAAAGTGGGGTGGCAGGCTGCCTCCGTGGAGCGTGTCCGCCCCACCGAACACTTCTGTACGCCTCTCGGGAGTGACCGGAAGCTCTGGAAGCAACTTGCCGTCTTATAGGCGTATGATGAATGTGTCGCCACAACGCGCATCGTCTCCATTTTAGTGAATGTCATTAGCCTAGACTCCGCTCGCTTGAGAACGAGATGGTGGTAACGTTGCCGACCACGTTGCAGTTGTAATGAAAATACTGAGTATAACGTGAGCTCAGTTTCGCTGCATCTGCGAGTAACGTAGCCCTCCTGGAAGACGATGCGCATAAGCGGGAAAATTGAAGCCTGAACCGTCGTCTTTTTGTCTTTTTTTTTTGTTATTTTGAATATAATAATTATTGAGTGCAACTAAATTAAGTGTTTCAGAAGGCCTTGAAGGAAACCGCGCTGTAGCGGAATTTCTCCGCTACGAGGCTAGTTTGCTTTCCATAGATAGATGCCGGTCAGTTGTTTCTCCGATAATTCCTATGCTTTCTGAGTGGGCCAGTTGCGCACCCCGAAATAGACAGTAAGGCTGGCAGCTCGAACACTATTGGTAGGAGAAGCTGCAGGCAAGGCGTCTTTTTCGGCTTGCATCCACTTTGAGATTGTCTCTCTTGAGAGGGCGACCTCAGGTTACCTTAAATGGTAAACTCGTGAAGTCTTGTGTAATGTGGCTGAGTTTGGCTGCCAGTCAGCCATACCAACTGACGGATGTTAGATGCTGGCACTTTGCCGAACTTACTTAACGCACTTTGTAAATTACCGCTGAAACCCCGTAGGAGGATACCCTGACCCTTCCTCCCCCCCCCCCTCCCCTCTCCTCTGGCGCTCGCTGGATGAGCATTGTCTGACAACTTTGTCTCGTCGCCATGTTCAAGAACTTAGTGCAGATCGTGTGTAGTCAACTCTAGCACCAGACTGGGCTTACCTTGGTATAACTAATTCGACTTTCTATAGATGATCGTAACGGTTAGTTCTTGTCGATTAGGGAACAGAATAACGGGTAGGAAGTTTGACTGCTGTGAAGTAATTAGGTTCATGTGATGCACTGTGACAGGTATGAACACCATATGATCATGGCAAGGTTCTTCGAAGAAAAATGAGGTGACACCGTCTTTATTTAAAGCGTAAAAAATTTGAACAGTACAGTTAAGTTTACTTGCCTTCATGCTTTTGGTATCAATGCACTTAAACGTTCTTCGGATAGCAGAAGCCCTGCTGTACGCAGGGCATCTTTAGATGAAGACGAACACTGAGGCAAAATGGAAAAAAAACAGAGATTCCAGAATTTCGCCGTAGGTCATCTTGAGGCGTAAGAGGGGAGGGGAAAGTTAATTTGGAGAAAATGTAATTGAGCTATCACAGAAGCATTGGTGCCAGAAGTAGGCTCAGTATATGTCCTCAGTCTTTCGAGTCGCAAAGTGAAATGAAAACACCCCACGCCTGTTCACTGAGGCGACTATCTTCTTCACCCTCTGACCCAGCTTTATCCTCACCCCCACCTCGATAGCCTATGATTGGAAATCGTGAGTCTCTGATCTTCATTCTGCTCAGCTTTCGTTGCCGTCGTTTTTTCGTCGACATCACTTTTCATCCGGTTAGGGTTCAGACCAAGCATGCCGACATCCCTTTCCGTAGGCTTAAACGGCCACCTTTCACTAAAATATTAAGGATTTTTCGGCGCTTTATTAATTACTTTCTTTCTTCTAGCAAAAATGGTTGTTAAGTTGAGAAGATGGTGCCAATCTAAAATATCACCTAACAGAGATATTTTGCGTCAATACGACTTGCCAATGCTGTGCTCAATTTTCAGTCGCGGCATGTTACAAACTGAGCATTACTATTACTATACGAATTATGTTGTTTTACATACTTTCCAATCCATCGGATATACGCTGATATATATATATATATATATATATATCAAGGTACAGAAAGATTTTCTCACCGGGCAGGTCACCGGGAACCTTGCAGGAAAGGAAACATATTGGGCACGGCTCTGTGAAGCAGCCATATTTATTGGCAGACCTCGCTGCTAGACTCTGGGAGACATACAAGCGGAAGTAGAAGCTCAGGTGATCGCGATGTGCACTCGTATCACGTGACCTGCTGTCGGAGGACGCTGCCTGATGTCTGTGACGGCCGTGTACGATGGACGGGAGAGGACCCTGTGCCCTGTGTGGTGCTTGTGCTCTGGACTGTGC